CAAGGCCTTCTCAGTGCCCAAGTGCGTGAGGTTGGCTCGGATGTCGCATCACTCGCACAAGTTGTTGAGAAAAATCAAAGGGACAGTACCAAAAGAATTGAGAGATGACTTAAGCGAAATCTGGGGAGAAGATCTTCTGAAGTTGGAAAGAGAAAACACAAGCGATCACGAGAGACAAAACGTGATCGGGAAACCTGTGGGAAGTACTCCGAACCTGGAAGACAACGACACGATGCACGAGAAAATGATGGAGCTTGAGCCTCTCTTGGAAGCCTCAGGGGAGCGTAATCTCAGGAGCATTGAGATCTCTCATGGGGAATGCCCATGCCACTGTTTGGCACAAACGGTGTGGTATCCAGATCACAAGAACCTTTGCCTGGTGTGGGATGTGGAAGAGATTCGGTCGATCGGACTACCGGATCACCGGCAGAAGGTGACGCTCTTAGTAGTGAGTACGATGTTAGCTCTGAGATGGATAGAAGAGAATATAACGAAATATCGGGAGGCGACGACGCCAACGGCTGAGTCAATATACGCGATAGACTACAGCAGGAGACTTGAGTTGTTTGAGACTGCGTGCAAAGTATTCGCCATACCAACGGAAGTCAGGCACGTATGGAGTCGCTTGAGGTACTTTCCATGGTTTCGGGCGACACTGACGTCTTGGTTGTACAAGGCAACGAAAGATCACATGAGAAAACATCAAAAGGAGTATCGACAGTTCCAGGCCGAGATTGGGCCGGAAGCTTTCAAGAGACCCCTGCTAACCCATCGTAATGCGATCACGACAGGATGGAAAAGAGTGGGTAAGATGTCTAGAGACAATACCAAAGCGAGGGAGTCGATACTAGAGGAAGACCTGGCGAAGAACGTGAGCTTGAGCCTGCACAACTCCTTTTGCTTGAACCGAGAGGCTAGGGTGAAGGCACTACCCAACCAGGCAAAGAGATTGCAGGAGCAGAGAGAATGGATGCGATCTTATGAACAACTGAAGGCTTGGGAGGAGATTGTGATTAGTTCCGATGATGAAGAGGAACTGTTGAGACAGTTTGCCGCATCTAGCACTTCAGGATGCAGTACATCCAAGGCGAAGAGCACGAGGTGAATGGGCAAATCGGATGGATCTTGAGTCTTGAGAGGGAAGGGGGGCTTGAGTGTGAATCCGAGTGAAACTTGGATTCACGAAAAAGAAATTTTAACAAAGTAAATATTGTTACTAATATACTATATCTATTATATAAATCAAAATGCTGCATGACAATTTCCTGATTGAATAGGACAAAAGAGATTTTTAAATGATTGGCTTGAAAAGCGAAAATTCAAAGGTGCAGGTAAATGCAGATTTTGATTGCTGTTTAGCAATAGTGTGAAAATTTTAAATGGTCGTGAATTTTGGGGTGTAGATAATCTTAAATCTGCTGCAAACTTCTGTAAATGACCACTGGCACTGTATCTTGAGCAACACTCGGTTTTTCTGGGACTCACTGGCAGAAGACAGCGCGCGATGAGGACATCGATCTCGAGTCCGGGGAGTATGTGCCAGTCGGTCATATTTGGAAGTTTGACCTTGAGAAGAGCAGAAAATACTTGATTTTGAAGTGAAATTTAATTTTTCAAAATTTCGAAAGGAACATGTCATGCACGATTTTCTCGCGACAACTGAAAATCAGAAAAAGAAATCAGAACAATTTTAGAACAATTGCGGGGAAGTTGTCAATTAAAAAACGAGTGGGAAATTGCTATTCGCAATTTCCATCATAGTGAACGAGAGTAGAGCTGTCCTACTTGAAATAGAAGACAGAGTATCCCCGAGAGAGCGATTACTGAAGTTGGACCAGAGTGAACCTTCAGCGGAAAGGCGGACAACTGGAGTGTCCCAACGGTCCAAGAGAACTCAAATTCTAGAGCATGAACTTATCCTTGCTGTCCAAACTATAAAACATTAAACTTCTCTTAGTTATTTATTTCTTGAGTTAGTTACTGACTGGATTATTTTCCCAATTCTTGAGCGTGCTGATATGTGAGTACGAATTTAAATTCTAGAGTGTGTTTTATGATTGTTATGCTGAGGTAAGGCGAGTTTTAGGTTGATCCATCTGAAATGGATCAAAGTCACACTGTCTAATAAAAAGTAACCTAACGGATTGTTCCAACCCGGTTTTTAACGGCGTTCATGTATTTTGGGTATCTAGAGACCCAAGTATGGGGACGTTTCTAATTCTAGAGTGGGGGGATATTTTAGTAGTAGCCTTTAAGCTGTAACGGGTCGTAGTCTCATGTCATAAGCGAACCGAACTGGCTCCGACCGTTCTTGAGGTAGAAAAACACAAGAGATAGTGTCCCTGACCCTTGAGCCAGTGGTTATAGGGCCTATTTTTCTTAAGCCTCATGTGTGACTGCAGTAGACGAATGTTACAATCTGTCAATCTCAAGTCGGCTTGTTTCGATTGGTAATTACATTGGTCTTTCACTATCATGGTTTGGCGCATATCTTGAGTATTTTTTAGTATGTGCATGTTTCTTGATTTTTATATAGAGAGTTGCAAAAAGTTCGGACAGACAGAATTAATTAAAAAGAGCAACTGTCTAGACATCAACCGAAACAAAACTGAAATAAATATATAGTAAAATCTGGACGTTCGTAGCAGTATTGAAAAAGTAGGCTAGCATAATCATCGGATAATCGACGATCTCGCATTTTGAATTTGGTCTGACAAAAAATCCAATGTTGTTTGGCTCCAGATTTTGCATGCAAAAAAGCGTCGGAACGCTTTGATTGCTCATTTTAATTAATTCTCTCTGTCCGAACTTTTTGCTACTATTTATAGCTTGGCAGTATTCAGTTTCTTTAACATATTAAAAACTTCTGGTTTTTTCAAATGAAATTATTTCGAGCGATGTTCCTTGGGGCGCGGCGTGTGTTTTGTGATTTTTTTTATCCATGCATACCATTTTTCAGTTAGAATTTTACCTCGCTCCAGCTAAGTCCTGTGGAAGGGTTCTTCATAATTTTTCTCGAAGTGCTTCGAAAATTGGCCTTACAGTAGCTTAGGAAGGCCGAGGAAACACATGTTCTTTGATTATTTGTAACCAGATTAGTTACTTTTCTTTCCAAGACATGGCATCATGATATTTGATAAAGCATTCGTGCCAGTCGGTCATATTTGGAAATTTGACCTTGATATGAAACTTTAACCTTGATTTGGGGGACATTGATTTCAAAAATTCGAATCGACCATGTCATGATCAAGTTTCTCGCGAAAACTTAAAAACAGAAAATAGTATTTTCAGAAGACTTGAATTTGAACTGCGGAAAAGTTGACTAAAATCACCTCAGTATAATTGCTATTCCCAATTTTACCAGAGTCTTTAATTCGAGTAGAGCTGTCTCGTTCCGGACAAGGTTCAGAAAGAAGTGCAATCGTAACCCTGTTTTTAATTGCGTTCGCGTGTTTTAGGTATTCAGAGACCTAGCCATGGGGGCGTTCTTTTTTCTAGAGTGTAAGTGTGTGTGTATGTGGCTGGGGGGGGGGGGAGTAATTTGGTAGTGTGGCCTCTAAGCTGTAACACGATTTGTAGTATCATGTCTTTCACGAACCGAATTGGCTCCGACTGAATGAGGTATAAAAGCACTAGAGATAGTGTTCCTGACCCTTGCGCCAATGGTTATAGGGCATATTTTTCTTAACCTTATATGTGACATAAGTAGGTGACTGTTACAATTCTTTTTAGCTTTTTGCAAAAGTTAGAATTCTACCTCGCTCCAGCTAATTCCTGTGCAAGGGTTCTTCATAATTTTCTCGAAATGCTTTCAAAATTGGCCTTACAGTAGCTTTGGGTTGCCGAGGAAACACACGTTCTTTGATGCTTTGTAACCAGATTAGGTACTTTCCATTCCAAGACATGGCATCATGATATTTGATAAAGCATTCAATTCTTTTTAGCCTTGTTACAAAAGACTATCTGTGGTGGTATTAGTGAACAGTAAGTCTAAAATTCCAGTTGATGATGTTGGGAAGGCAATTAACTCTCGCATTTCATTTCCAGTCAATATAGTTCGAAGTCCTTTTAGTTCGAATCTTGAATACCTCATATAAAAATTGTAGGGTCGAAAGTGGTATCATTTTGTAGCGCTTTCAACCGTGAGTCGGTTTCATGAGCATGTCGATTTTACTTTTCCGTTTTTTCCCATTGTTCCGACCATTTGAAAAATTGGGAGGAACATACTATTCGGGTGTGATTTTGTTTTTTTTTTTGTTCTCCAAGCAAATTCAGGTATCACAAGTATTTCCTTGGTATGGGTCGAGTGATATATGTTGAAGCGCATTCAGTTGTGATTCGAACGACATTAAGAATGTTCGAACAAATTATCCCAGTATTGAGAAAAACTCATTTGGAATTTTTTGAGTTTTGGTCTAATTAAGATTAAATGAAGGAGAGAGGGCAGGCTTAGAAGAGCTTTTTGATGCTAATTAAAGCCGCGAAATCTTAGTTTTATTCAAGCAAAGTTATTTATTGATATTCTTCTATAAAATTTTGGTAATAAAAAAAGGTAATTTTTTGTTTCTATTGATTTATTTGTTTTTCTAGTCATCTTTCTGCAAAAACTGTTGTTCAATTTGCCTATTTTGCTATGACTGTCGAATATGCCTAAGTTTTTGTTTTTGTTCAGATATTTTTATCTTATTTCGCAGAAAAACTAACGATACTATACTAATAGTTTGAAAGCTTTTATTTTTATTTTTTAAGACTATGGTCAGAACATTCTGTGCTATTTACAAAGTTAATCGGCTTCTCTTATTAATTCTTTGTTTTTACTTCTTTCATGATAACTTTTTAGCCAATTTAGTCAACCTTGACTATCTCAAAAACGAAACCAAAAGGTGGAAAAAATATCAAAACAAAAATTTGTTAAAAACGTGATTTTTTAAGTCGGAACAATCTGTGGTATTTGCTCTGCAACCCATTTACTATCCTTTTACTATTTTTGAAATTGATTAAGGCTTCTCTAGATCTCATCTGATGCTTTTAGTTACTTATGCCGTTTTCCAGTATTTATGTCCTCAAATGTGATAAGCAGTTAAGTTATCCAAGATCATCTTTCGTAATCACTCCAATTTGCACAAGTTTTAAGGTTGGTAGGAAAGGTTGCGATTTTTCCATAAATGACGCTTCAATCAGTAGAATTCACTCCATTCTGGAAGCCAATGAGTCTAACGAGCTCTGGATCGAAGATTGTTCTAAATTTGGGACTTATGTAAACGCCCAGAAAATTCAAAAGGGATCCAAAAAGCAGTTGCATGTGGGGGACACTATTCAGTTTGCAAATTTCCAGACACGATTTAAAGTGTATGTGGAGACAACTAAAGTATGCACATCCAATTTAAGCAGAGAAGAACGAAAAGATTTTAAATCTTTATGTACTCAATACGATATTGAAATTGTGAGTGAGTTCAACGAGGACACACATTTCTTAGTTATGTCCAGCATAACAGCTACACACAAAGTTTTCACTGCATTAGTTCTTTTTCGACAAATCGTAACTCCATCGTATTTTTACGATCTCATAAACAATAACGGAACAAAATGTTTACAGTTGTCAGATTATGTTCCGAAAGTATCTGAAAACATAATTAACCAATCTCTTGCCAAATTCGAGAATTGTCATTTGCGTTTGAACTTGCTTAAAAGTTTGAAATTTGTTTTTGTTGATGAACTGCACATGAAACGGTTACAACCGATGCTAATTTATGCTGGCGCAAGTTGCGTGCTCTTCAATATTTTGACCAAAGAACAGAAATTAGTTATAATCGAAGATTTGAAAAGTGATGCAATTGTTTGTGTTCAATCTCGTGCTTCGCTTAACAAATCTTCCTTTGATTCTATCAGAAATAGATTGTCCGAGCTTTCAAAGAGAGCTATAACAGACTGTGAACTTGGTTTTTGCGTTTTGTATTGTGATAGACAGAACTATTGCAATCCGTCTTCCAAAGTACCGAGTGAGTTAGCTGATTTAGATACAACGCAGCGCATTGCCGAAACGTACGGTGTCAATGAATGCACGATGCCAATGAATTTTATTCAAAATCAGCTGGCCAGCACAAATGTTGATGTAAATATTCGCTCATGTTCTGAAACCGAGAAGCAATCATCTGCTCGTTTTAACAAGAGCATCACATTGCCAGAAGTGAATAAATCGAACAACACTGGATTTAGCAGCACTACTGTAGATAAAACGAACTTTATCTCGAGTTTGACTGACAAGCATGCTGACCCGGATACCGTTGAGCCGTCTGGTATTACTTCGAAAGTCAACAAAGGAGTTGAACTCAAACGCTTGACTTCTCTGAAACAGCAAATAAATGATTCAAATGTCAAAGATATTAAGGGTAAGAGGAAAGGATCGCCGCTTACGGAAAACTATCAAAAAATTTCTAAAATTCAGGAGCCTGAACAACCGAAAGAGGTGGGTGATCTCCAGGATAATTTCATATCACAATCTTTAGGGTTTCTGGATGCCTTGGAACCAGTCAGAAATAACCCAAGCGACAGAAACATCAATGTAAGAGATATTAACAACGATGCTGTGAGTAATGACTTTCCGACTTCTGATGCAAATAGTTGTGCTGCCAATTTAAAAGAAGTAAAATCTAGAACAGATGTCTCTGAAAACAAAATTACAGTTTCAAAAAAGGAAACGGCCAAAAGTCGTCAAGCTGCTGAAAGCTGTCTTGAAAGAACAGTCAATAACATTAGTGGAATCAAAAGTAATGCTATTTCGATGGTCTCAAATCGTTCTTTTGGAGACTCATGGGTTAAAAAGCAGAAAAATTTTGATGCGATTAGAGGTGATATTTCTGCAGTCGGTTCTAATGAGCTATCGCGATCAGATAACACAACACGTTTACCTGAAAATTCAAGTAGCAATCTCCATGAAACGTCAATGATGCGGTCTACAACTTTTTCTTTGAAAAGACAGCGACTCCCTCCACCAAACAACTCAGACAGAACCGGATCGAATCAACCTAATTTCAAGAAGTTCAAAAAAATTCACCCTGCTTGGAAGAAAAACATAATAGAAGAAGATATGGATGGTTCGACTGTAGTCGCAAGAAGAAAAACGTCTGTTAAATTGAAAACAAGGAACAGCATGCAAACGACATTTTGATATCTGCTAAATAATTTTGAATTGAATTTAATATCACTTAACGTTTTGTTTCCAAATTGATGCAATAATGTTGGGGAGATGTGGCCGTGTAATTTAAGGGCCTTAATGGCAAAAGTTGACAAGCTTGTCAAAATTAGGAGCTGATAAGGTAATTTTCAAACGCATGTGAGTCTTTTTGAAAAGTTTTGATGCCTGATTTTGTTGCAGTATCACAATTTCAACTTGAAACAAAGTGTTCTAAAGTAGCTGATTTGATTCAAAATTTGAGGGTCTGAATAAAAACTTGAGCATACGATTTTGCGAGGTTTGATCTTGAATAAATTTGCACTTGTCCTGTTTTCAGAGATGACTTGAATAATGGAGGCGACAGCCGAGTACGACTTTCAGGCCACTGCCGACGACGAGCTTTCCTTCTCTCAAGGTCAAGCGATCAACATACTGCAGACTGAGCGGGATGCCAATTGGTACAATGCCGCACTCAACGGACAGGTCGGCTTCGTCCCCAAAAACTACATCAAAATGAAGAAAGCCAACTGGTATTATGGCAAGATATCACGTGCCAAAGCGGAGGAACTGCTTGCCGATCAGCCTTACAACGGTGCTTTTCTAATCCGAGACTCGGAGACAATCATGGAACCAGGATCCTACAGTCTGTCGGTCAAGTTCGAAGGTCAAGTGCAACACTTCAAGATCTTGAAGGACAACGACTATAAGTTCTACATCTGGATGACCAAGTTTGACAGTCTGAACAAACTGGTGGAACATCACAAGAAAACCAGCATATCCAGGTATTGCAATATGCTTAAATATTAATGAACAAAGTGTGGACACTGAGGTTGTCTGGATTTTCGCGTTTTTTTAGGAGAATTTTTTTCAAGCTAAATTTTGATTTCCGTTTAAGATCGCTTCAAATTCATGGGCTACATGGAAGGCAAATTACGCGCTCCAAGAACAAAACTGTAAATGACGCAAAAATATGATTCAATTATAGGCTTAAAAGTGATCTTATTTTCAGAAAGCTTTAAATATAACGTTCCAAAAGAATTAATAGCGTTAATAATATGAAACGATAATTTTTTTACTCAATTAAAATGCCGTAAAAGAAAGACTCCTCATTCAAGCTCGCTCTAAAGACTTTCTATAACTATAAAAAAATTCAGACCACAAACAAAATAGTATGGCCGGAATAGAAAAAAGCTTTAATAAAGGATCAAAACAGCGGTCCTTCTTAAAGAGCTAAACTGTTTGTATAATGTTGATTTGATATATTTGAACGTTTTTTTTCTAGAGTGTGCAAGATCATGCTGAAAGACATGGTAGCAGACGAGAAGCAACAACAGCAGCACAATCTGCAACACATGCAACAACAGCCGCCATTGCAACAGTCACAGAACAATCACCTCATGCAGAATCAAAACCAGCAGCAGCCCAGGACTACAACAGTCCAGGCCCTGTTTGACTTCCAGCCAGACGAACAGGGAGAACTCGGCTTCAGGTGAGATCTTAAAATCCAGATTGTTGAAAGAAGATTATGATACGATTACGTTTTTTTTTGTTGCAATAGATTTTTGTGGTATTTAAGCCATCTCAGCCGTTATTTCGATTTTAAAGCAAAAATTTGTATTAAGTTGTCTCAGTGGCGTGAAAATCTGGTATACTTACTTTTTTTTCAAAAAATTTTCGGAATTTTGTCGCCTTTTTTTAGGTCGACTAAATTGGTTTTCCGAGCTATCCCAAAGCACTAAATAGTCCCTGTTTTGGCCAAAAATTCTGCGTCGCAGGCAAAATTTTGAAAAAAAAAACTGGCCAAAAAGGCGTTTTTAGGCGCCTTTAGAAAAATTTTAGGGTCCGTCAGCCAAAATTGGATTTCTGAAAATAATTCTAAGGGGGGATCCTTTGGGTCGGTAAAGGTTCGAATCCCTAAATCCGCCCCTGATTTCAGTTATTTTAACCTCTCATTCTCCCAGTTTTTAACAGCCAATGAATGAAGTGAAGAGATCGTTTCTTTTTTTTGTCTTCTGGATAAATCTCAAAATTTGATCACGCTCAAATTGGATTTGTTGGGTCTTGAAGTTTTTTCCAGAAGACAAAAAAAGAAACGATCTTTTCACTTCATTCATTGACTGTTAAAAATTTAATTGGCTGTTTCAAAGCGTTTTTCAATATCAATTCCCATTCGTTTGCTAAAAGCCAGGTGAATTATGCTCTCAAGTGACAAAATTGTAAATGGAGCTAAAAAACATGAATTTGGTTAGTTTCGAAAGTGGGTTGATTTAGGGTTTTTCACACAAGCACTGCTTGTGTTATAGTATGAACTATTTTTTTCCAATCTAAGTCGCAAATATTGTTGCGATAAATTGTATTAATTTTGAAAGTGTTCATTTTGATCAATAAGCAGCTATTAAGTACAACCAATGCTAAAGATTTTAACATAGACTATAATTGTTTTAACTTTCGTATTGAAAGTAACGGAATATTTGTGCTTTGTGTGGTTTTTTTTAGACATTTCGACTTTTTAACTAGCCATTTTTGACGGAATTTTTTAAAAATCAATCGAAAACTATTGTTGTCCATAGCTTAATTTTGAAAAGATATTTCACCTGTGATCTTTTTTTAGCAAAGTTATGGGGATTTAAAGATTGCCATTTTGGCAAAATTTATCACTTTGTATTTAATATGGCGTGTGGGGGGATAATTTTCACAAAAAGTCTCAAAATATAAAAAAATTATTTTATTTTTGTTACATTTAATTCTTTCATGTTATTAATGCTCGATAGACTGCTCTATAAATTGAGGCATGTTAATTGGTAAATTTATTTTTTTTTCAATTTGACTGGTTCTGCCAATGCGTCATAATTGGCGTGCGCCACTCGAGAAATTTTGCTGACTCAAAGTTTTACTCATTCAGTTTTTACCAGTAGCGTTATCGGTCATATTTTTGCTTGTGTATGCGATGTGCAACTTCACCTCTGTGTTAAATAATACAATTACCCGTTATTTAAAAAATTGGCAAAAAAGATAGCAAAGACTGCTCGTATATCAGGACAATGCCCTGAATGTTCTGACTGCTCTTTAACAGGTCTCAAATAGTTTTTCTAAAAAACACATTGAGAAACTACGAATTTTGGGCTGATAATATCAAATATTAAGTGTTGAAAATTGAGGCGTATATGAAATTCGAATTTTGGGCTGTTAATATCAAATATTAAGTGTTGAAAATTGAGGCGTATATGAAATTCGAATTTTGGGCTGATAATATCAAATATTAAGTGTTGAAAATTGAGGCGTATATGAAATTAATACAACTAGTTAGCTCGGCTCAATTCAACTGGGAACAATTTTTAGCGCGGGATATTTTGCCACTCATTAATAACTCGAGTTACACTGTCAGCATCAAAGTATTAAACGAGCAGCATAGCTAGACTTGTATCTCTGCGTCCGTAAAGCCAGTTTAGTATAGTGGTTAGCGCAACGTTTCTGTAATCGAAGATTCAGAGATCGATTACGCCTGAAAAACATTAATTTGGAAATTGGTCCGAATGAAAAACCGCCCAAGCATATATATTCCTCATTTTTCGAAAGTCAGAACAAAAATTAACATAAAAAATTGGAATTTGTTTTGGCTTTGAGGGTTTTTATTTTTTTTCTTTACTCGGTGAAAAATAAATTTTTGCAAGCGGGTCAGAAGTTAATTTTTTGTTCAATTGAATAAATAAACTCAATTCTTTTGTTGTAGAAGGGGCGAGGAGATAGAACTGTTAGACTGGAGTCACTCAGAGTGGTGGAAAGGACAACTTCACGGGCAGATAGGATACTTCCCCAAGAACTACGTTAGACAGACCACCACAGCAACGTCCGCTGCACCTAACAATATAGGGCAACCATATTACTCCTAGAAGGCACAACATCCCTGGTACTCATAGGAGCTCCAACATCCCTGTAACTCGTAGGAGTCACGCGAGCTGTGATCTTGTCTGACTATCCCTGGTATTTCTAAGAGCCACCATAATCCCATAATCTTCCATAACATCCCTAGTTTCCCAAGGAGACGCATCATCACTGGTTCTGCAACCAACAATGAGAACCACAACATCCCCGTTAATTCTAGCCTCCTCAGCTCTAAGTGCTCTAGCAAATCATCTACTCCTTCACGTCTATCTTTACGAACAAGCCAATCCAGCGCTACACATCAAAAAAGCAAATGTCAAAAACATCACGTAACCAATTTGAAAACAGCCAACAAACAGCAAAACAGATCGAGCCAATACGTAATAGAGTTCGACAGATCTAAGAATTTTTTGTATACATTTTTGAAGTACGAGATTTCAGCAGAACTAGGTAAAAAATTTATGATTACTTATTTAATATTGAGCTAACTGTCGAATTCATCCGAACTTAATATGAAATGGAGACTAAATTAGCTACAGATGGAGTTATTTAAAAATAGATAATGTATAAAATTAGAAAGATCGAGAAATTTGATTTCTGACAGTTTTGTTTAAATGGTTTCTGAATGACTTCATTGTGCTATGTTAAACTTAGCCAATACTGAATGTCGTTGTAAATACAACCAAAGATAGAAACTTTAGACAATAGTCGAAAATTTGATTTCTTAGGTTTTCATTTGCACATGAAAACTCTATAGACATTTGTAAACAAAACAAAGTAGTTCGGATTTTTGAAGTCCGAATTGTTTAAAAATAGTATCGGCTTCTGACATTGCACGCGATTCAATTGAAATTCCTCTCTGTCCGAAGCAATTTAAGGGTGAGGAGGGTGGTTTGATGATTAATTCAGGAAAAAACTTATTTTTACAACTTCATTCAAACTATCTTTGTTATACCATAATGTTTGTTGTCATTCGAATGTGATATGAAATATCCGTGCTGTTAGTTTCTAATAGTTATTGTATCCATTGTAGATGATTTAGAGTTTGATAATTTTAGTTAATAACAATTTATTTTGCCGCTTCCGATTCGCAGTTGCCTTTTATCAATCAATCACAACAATTTAATATCTTTATGTGGCGAAGTTAAAGCTGTAATTTTACTGTGGTCTTTAGTAGAAGGTTTATTTACAGGTACATAATTGGAATGAGTGTTTTAACTTCGTTTCTCTTTTGTTGTAATTCTGCTTCATCATCATCTTAGTCTAGCAATTTTTCTCAATTTGATTTGACACTATCATTCAGCGTAATTGGACTCTTCTGACATACAAAAAGACCGATCTGTCAATAAATCGAGTCTAATTGAAATAATTAATCAGATTCGAATCGATAAATTCAAATTAAAAATGGCTCGTAATCAGGGCATGCGAATCGATATACTAAGAGGAATACAGCTCAAAAGAGATCCAATTCATTTCATGCTGACAATGTTTTTGCGGCTCTTCTGAAATAGGGATCAAGGAATGTGCTTTTTTGATCAATACTTAGTACTGCGAAATCACAGAAGGTTGAAGAAACTATTTTGTGTTCATTATAGAAAATTATCAAAATAATGTTTTTCACAGAAAAATGATGTTTGAGAAGAGCAACTTTAAATGAATTAATTTTGTTTAGAGTAATTTTCATTAATCCCTGGTTGGTAAAAACCCACCATTTCTTACTAATTCAGTTTTATATTTGTTTTTGTTTTATTTAAAAAAGATGGACCATTTTGTTCAAGAAGAAAGGTCAACATTCTAGTTATTAAGTTTTTCTGCGCAGACAGACATTCACTTTGAATCGAGCCTACGTGGAATAATTTGCTTGTTTTTTCATGAGTCGATTAAAATAGTGAAGACTCTTCTAGAAGTCGTGATGATTTTTTTAAGGAAAAGTCTTGAAAATGGTTTACACTCAAATTTGATTTTTTGTGGTGTGAATTTTAATTTCTCGTTGAGTTCAGTTCAGTTCCTTTTCTTAAAAGGAAGACAAACTTAATTATAGAAAAGCAAAAGTGTAAAGTTAACGGAAAATGCTATCGACTTCTAACTTCGAAGGTGAAGAGTTTTAATTTTCTTGTGATTTCTTGTTTACGGTTTGACTTGTGATTTCTTTTTAAGTTCAGTTCATTTCCATTGTTAAAAGAAAGGCAAACTCCCCTGTCGAACAGCAAATGTGTAAAAGTCACGAAAATCGTGTTCCACTTCTGGTTTCGAAAAAGGAAATAAATTATCAGATTTCCCAGCGAAACAAAAGTTATACGTATTGATCCAGTCAGTTTTTTTTTTCAGTTTCCTTGCGTTCATTTCTCTTTTCCAACTGTTAGTTGGCTTTGTTTTCAAGAGTCGATGAACGTAGTACAGACTCTAATATAGGTCGTGATGATTTAAAAAAAAGTTTTTCAGGAAAAGTGCTCCGAGCTATTTTCTCTAATTTTTTTAAACTAAAATGCTTTGAAAATTTTACCCTTGCGATTCCAACCGAGTAATCGACTTTTTCCCCGTTCACTTAATGGTACATTTTGAAGCATGATCGAAGCATATTCCAACCGTCATAATTGGCGTGCGCCACTCGAGAAATTTTGCAGACTCAAAGTTTTACTCATTCAGTTTTTACCAGTAGCGTTATCGGTCTTATTTTTGCTTGTGTATGCGATGTGCAACTTCACCTCTGTGTTAACTAATACAATTACCCCTTATTTAAAAAATCGGCAAAAAGACAGCAAAGACTGCTCGTATATCAGGACAATGCCCTGAATGTTCTGACTGCTCTTTAACAAGTCACAAATAGTTTTTCTGAAAAAACACATTGAGAAACTACAAATTTTGGGCTGATAATATCAAATATTAAGTGTTGAAAATTGAGGCGTATATGAAATTCGAATTTTGGGCTGGTAATATCAAATATTAAGTGTTGAAAACTGAGGCGTATATGAAATTAATACAACTAGTTAGCTCGGCTCAATTCAACTGGGAACAATTTTTAGCGCGGGATATTTCGCCACTCATAAATAACTCGAGTTACACTGTCAGCATCGAAGTATTAAACGAGCAGTATAGCTAGACTTGTATCTCTGCGTCCGTAAAGCCAGTTTAGTATAGTGGTTAACGCAACCTTTCTGTAATCGAAGATTCACAGATCGATTACGCCTGAGAAAACATTCATTTGAAAATTGAATACCTGTTTTGGCTTTGAGGGTTTTTATTTTTTTTTCTTTTCTCGGTGAAAAATAAATTTTTGGAAGCGGGTCAGAAGTTAATTTTTTGTTCAATTGAATAAATAAACTCAATTTTTTTTGCTGTAGAAGGGGCGAGGAGATAGAACTTAAACTGGAGTCGCTCAGAGTGGTGGAAAGGACAACTTCACGGGCAGATAGGATACTTCCCCAAGAACTACGTTAGACAGACCACTACAGCAACATCCGCTGCACCTAACAATATAGGGCAACCATATTACTCCTAGAAGGCACAACATCCCTGGTACTCATAGGAGCTACAACATCCCTGTAACTCGTAGGGTTCACGCGAGCTGTGATCTTGTTTGACTGTCCCTGGTATTTCTAAGAGCCACCATAATCTTCCATAACATCCCTAGTTTCCCAAGGAGACGCATCATCACTGGTTCTGCAACCATAAATGAGAACCACAACATCTCCGTTAATTCTAGCCTCCTCAGCTCTAAGTGCTCTAGCAAATCATCTACTCCTTCACGTCTATCTTTACGAACAAGCCAATCCAGCGCTACACCTCAAAAAGGCAAATGTCAAAATTATCACGTAGCCAGTTGAAAACAGCAAACAAACAACAAACGGGTGTTTTTTCAACTTGTTTTCCATATGAAATCAATATACACAAATTATTTTGACATTTTGAAGCATGTTGGAAGTGATAATTTTACAATTATGCGTTTTACTTGTTTTGCCGATATAGGGCTAGAGATAGCTTTGTAGGTGGTAGATGTTTCTGTATGATTTTATTCAGCTTTTTTTGCTTGTTAATTCTGACGGCTTATTTACTTTAGTTTCTTTATTTGTTTCCGGATGTTCTTGATAATGACTCAGCTTTGAATTTGAAACTTTAAAATCACTTCTACTTTTTAACAAAAATACATGAAAGAATTTTTGACTTAAAAAAATTTTTCCCGTTTAACGCGGAACTTCTTGAGCGGGCCTGCTGTTCTTCATTTATTATCTTGCAAAGGTAGAAGAAATTGAGTGACTTCGCAATTTTCTTGGTATAATTGTCAATCAGTTTTTTCGTCAATTGATTTTAGTTTATTTCTTCTAGTCTAGATAATTTTGTAGAGCGTTAACATCTCTTAGGAAAAGACTCGGGTTTAAGAGGCATTACGAGCTATCAGACCATAAATTGGATTTGAAAATTTTGTATTCACTTTTCTCGTAATTTTCAGTGTTTTCGTTATGTTTCTTAGTGTAATAACTTTTGTTTTCGCTGTTTATGTATTTTTTTTTGGTTTTTGCTATGTTTGTATTTTACGTAATATTTTCCTCTGGTTCTGTATAGAGTTCGTTTTCATTTGCAATCAAGTGTAAGCAGGTGAATTTTGTTTTAATATCTACCAAATTTTTCTGATACCGAAGACAAATGAGCTGGGCGACAATTTTTACGCCAGCATTTTATTGGGATCTTTTTTTCGTCTTAGTTCATTTAGTCTTAAATCTTAGCAACTTTTAGGCTTAATTTTCTGGATATCTGAGAATTTCGGTTGCTAAATGATATAAATTAATTGAAGATCGACTTTTCGAAAAAGGATTAAAAAGTTTCTCAACATTTTCTGCTTTTAAAAAATACTATGTCCATTCAAAGTTTAAATTTTTCCCGGTTTTGTCTAGATAGTTATCGATCGGTAGTTTTCTTGCTACTTCAATGCTGGCCGTTCTGATCCGACACATCGTTTGTTCAGTTTTTAACGATACCGTGGCTTTATATATCGCAAGTGGTGCGAAGCTCAGCTTCGTATTTGTGCACAGAAGTGCTTTGATACATATAAATGATTTATGAATGCTTTTAGGTTTATTTACACTATTTGAATTCAATTCAATTTCATTTGCTTAAAGTTAATTAAATTGCGATCTCCAATTAAGAAAGTGTAAAGGTCGCGAAAAACGTGATAGACATCTAGTTTCGGAAAAGGAATTTAATTTTCAGATTTTCCAGCGTAATACAAGCTTCACCTATTGATAAAGTTTTCGCAAAATGAGTCAAAGTCAAAAAAAGTCAATCATAAATTGTTCTTCAAATTTAAATAGCTGTAAATCCATGTTTCTTACTTTGAAATTGTAAATTTGAAGTTTTTCCAAAAACAATTTTGTTTTTATATTGTTTCCTTGCGTTCATTGACTCTTTTCCATCTGTCTGTTGACTATAGTTTGAAAGAACTAGTCACTTTTTTTTGGTTCCTTGCGTTGATTTAGTTTTTCCTCTGTCTGTTGGTTATGTTTTGTTCTTAGGACATTGAGAGTATCATGGTTATGGCAAAAACTTATTCTGATTTTCTACGCAGCTCTATCGGTTTGTAGCCCCTTCTAAGTGTGACATAGTAACTGTAGAAATTTAACGAAAAACAATTAAAAGAAATTTTTTTTTGATTGTAGTTAGTTTTTAAAATTCGCCAGGAAAAAAACTGAATTTGTGAACATTGTAATATCCCTCGTAAAACTATAAAAAGGTGCTTGCCTGAGACGATTGGCGTGGTATATGAGTAACGGGGAGGGGATCTTGGTTCCGCATTGGTTCGGTCAGTCAAAAAGTAATCGGTCTAAAAACAAGACGTTTTTTTTTGTTCCGACCATTTAAAATTGGGAGAAACTTAATCTTCGGGTGTTTTTTTAACTTGTTCTGAATTTCTGCGTAGAAACTCTGAAAAACTTATTCTGAATTTCTATGCAGCTCTATTGGTTTGTAGCCCCTTCTAAGTGTGACATAAGTAACTGTAGTACTTTTACGAAAAAAATTAAAAGAATTCGCCAGGAAATAAACTGAATATGTGAACCTTGTAATATCCCTCGTAAAACTATAAAAAAGGTGCTTGCCTGAGACGATTGGCGTGGTATGTGTGTAACGGGGAGGGATCTTGGTTCCGCTTGGTTCGGTCAGTCAAAAAGATTTCTGTCTAAAAACAAGACGCTTTTTTTTGTTTCGACCATTTAAAATTGGTAGAAACTTAGTCTTCGGGTGTGTTTTTTTAACTTGTTTTCCACATGAAATCAATATACACAAATTATTTTGACATTTTGAAGCATGTTGGAAGTGGTAATTTTACAATTACTTGTTTTGCCGATATAGTGCTAGAGATTGCTTTGCAGGTGGTAGATGTTTCTGTATGATTTTATTCAGCTGTTTTTTTTTGCTTGTTATTTCTGACGGCTTATTTACTTTAGTTTTTTTTATTTGTTTCCGGATGTTCTTGATAATGACTCAGCTTTGAATTTGAAACTTTAAAATCACTTCTACTTTTTAATATAAAAATACATGAAAGAATTTTTGATTACAAAAAAAATTTTTCCCGTTTAACGCGGAACTTCTTGAGGGGGCCTGCTGTTCTTCATTTATTATCTTGCGAAGGTAAAAGAAGTCCTGAGTGAATTCGCAATTTGTTTGGTATAATTGTCTATCAGTTTTTTCGTCAATTGATTTTTAGTTTATT